GAAACACCTCTTATGGGAACTTATTCCAACAGGTTTTCCTCAAATAATCAGTAGCAATACTACAAAAAAGGTGCTTAAGTCCCCAGGCTTTGCAAGCCAAAATATGACCAAAACTGTGTCTACAAAGAAAATCTACACAAAGCAAATACTGTTAATAGACACAATTAAAGAATAGTAACGGGGCGCCTGGGTGGCTCAGTTGGTTGGGCGACTGCCTTCGGCTCAGGTCATGATCCCAGGGTCCTGGGATCGAGTCCCACATCGGGCTCCCGGCTCAGCGGGAGGCCTGCTTCTTCCTCTCCTACTCCCCCTGCTTGTGTTCCTGCTCTCGCTGTCTCTGTCTCTGTCAAATAAATAAATAAAATCTTAAAAAAAAAAAAAAAGTAACAATAAATTGTATATTTATTTTATAGATTCTGAACATTGATATTAAAGAGAAACCAAGATTAACTGGAGAAAGGCATGAAAGGTTGAAATTTTAGGGGCACCTGGGTGGCTCAGTCATTAAGCGACTGTCTTCAGCTCAGGTCACGATCCCAGGGTCCCGGGATCGAGCCCCGCATTGGGCTCCCTGCTCTGCGGGAAGCCTGCTTCTCCCTCTCCCACTCCCCCTGCTTGTGTTCCCTCTCTTGCTGTGTCTCTCTCTGTCAAATAAATAAATAAAACCTTTAAAAAAAAAAAAAAGGTTGAAATGTTAAAAAATAATTCCAAACACTCTTAAAGATTTCAGAGGTTGATGGCAGTGGATTTTATTGGGGGGGGGGAGGTGTCTTAATTTCACTTTGAAACCTGGTTTTTAATCCCACAGGTGTGTCATTTGTAGTACCCTTCCACTGAGTAGCTACAGAAACACAAATAGAAGCAAAGCAAGCTTTTCCAATGTTAACCAGGCAAAACCTAGAAGATCAAGGAAAGAATAAAGTATTAAATAACCACTGAATGTAAAAATGAGATTGATTAGCAATTAACTGAGCTGTGTATGTTAAATGAAATAAAAAGATGGGAAGGAGGTTGCCAACAAGGACTGCACAGAAATTACATAAAGGATAAAGTAATGATAGGAAAGGCAGTGGACTGTAGGTCATCACCTGCACGAAGCACTTCCCAGTTGCATATTATTAACTTAGATAGTGCTGTATCTTTCTTTTTTTTTACTATGTTATGTTAATCACCATACATTACATCATTAGTTTCTGATACAGTGCTGCATCTTTCAATGCCACAAACGCCAATACAGAAGCTAGAAAACTTTTCTTGGAAAGGATCCAAGGCATTCAGAATGTCAAGTTATTGCCAAAAAATTAAGAGCATGAACTGTGGAGCTGTGAAAGCCCAATTCTTCAACTTACTAAATGTGTGACCTTTTGTTAAGTTATTTACTTTCTGTGCTACAGTATGCTAATCTGTAAAATGGAAGATAAAAATAGAACTCTTCTCAATGAGTTGATTAAATGAATTTCATAAAGATCTTAGGACCAGTGCCTGACACATCACACTACTACCTAAACATCTGCAGTTGGATTTATTGATGCACTCACTGGCCAGGCTTTTTGTGGCACTTTCCCAACTCCTCAATCTCCACACCTGTACCAGGTCCAGGCGTCCCAATTACAAGGTCTCATCACTCAAACACAGTTCTCTTTACCCTGGGTGAAAGGGATCTTAGACATTCATTCAAGGGTTTAGGGAGTATTTTGATGGTACAAATCAATGAAACAAACCGGCTCAACAAAGACTAATCTTGAAAGGGCTGATGCCAGTGCAAAAAAAAAAAAAAACAACTAAAGGAGAACCAGGAAGCACCAGTGACAAAACAAACATTGTTCATATCAATGAAGTGATAGGTTTCTCCGTAGGGACAAAATATCGGTGCCAGTGAGTTTGCTTTCAAGTTATCAAAACCATCCTGACAGTTGAGAATGTTTGGAAAACTATGGTCTTTAGATTGACTGCCAACCATTACACAAACAGAATTTTTTGGAGTTGTGACAAACACCAATTAAAAAACAAACACCTTGCCTTCTGAAGAATTTATCAAGTTTGATAATTTCAGTATAGCTTCCCCTACTCTAACCAAATTCAGACCTCAGGTCTATTCCTATGCTCTTCATTTCCAACCACACTGAAAAGTCTACAGGGCTCCATCAAGTAAATTCAGATCACAAGTATAAGCTTCTGTACTACGTTATGATTAGTAAGTTATTTCACTTTAAAACAAAATAAACAGGAACAACAAAATACTAAATGACTATAAAGGAAATGCCACCTGTGAGTAATCCTATGAGTATAGTATGTCCTTTTATTTTGGATATTACTTTTCGTTTTTTCCTCTCAGCTCTGTAGTGAGCTGAGAAAGAAAGCAAGCTGGAGAGGGGTGCCTGGGGGGCTCAGTCGTTAAGCGTCTGCCTTTGGCTCAGGTCATGATCCCAGGGTCCTGGGATCGAGCCCCACATTGGACTCTCTGCTCAGCGGGAAGCCTGCTTCTCCCTCTCCCACTCCCCTTGCCCCTGTTCCCTCTCTCCCTGTGTCTCTCTGTCAAATAAATAAATAAAATCTTTAAAAAAAAAAAAAGGAAAGAAAGCTGGAGAAATACAGGCTAAAGCAAAACTGACATTAACGTTCTCACTGGGATTTCACTTTCCACCAAGTCAATGATTTTTTCAATCACAACAGCAGAAGAAAGTATTTCCCAGACATTCAAACATGTGGTCATTAAGGGCACAGCCAGTTAACAATGATTACAACTACTGAAGTTTTTCAGTTTCTTCCAAAAAAGAAAAGTAAACTGAGGAATATTTAGAATCATTTGCCTACCATGGAAGCTACTGCATGTCACCACTTGCCAGAAGTATGGAAGTGGAGCAAAGAAAGTCAAGAATTTTAAAAGCTTCTCTCATTAAATTACATTTTCTCCAAATCTACAACAATCCCTTCTCCCCACACTGAGGAAATCCAGGTACTGCGAATTCCTGGCAAGGGAACCAGAAGTAATCTCCAAATATTTAAAAAATTACTCGCAATCAACCTGTCATTTCTAATACTGAGTTACTTAAATATTACTTGCTCTATTCAAACTCCACAAAACTGAAAATGATAAGATTGAGATATAATGAAGTTGTTCAACATTTTCATTCATGACTGTAGGACAAATCCTTTTTCCTGGTCTTAGGAAGCTGGGCAATGAGAAAAACAACTCTTGTCTAAATAAACGTGTAAAATCTTTCGGCTTTTCAGACTACATTCAAATTGCTAGAAATTCAATGTTCAATGTTTGAATCTTATGGGATAGCTCATTATTTCCATTAACCAGGAGAAAGAAAATCTACATTATTGTGTGGATTTAAAGAACTATGACACTGCTATTCCCACCCACTTCTTTATAGGTCCCATGAATAAAGTTAACAGATTTTATGCATCCTATGAGAGCAAACAAAAAGGGGAGAAGAGTCGTAACACTTTAAACTCTTCCTACAAAATTCCGTGTAGAGAAAATAGCACTAGGTGAAAAAGTGTGGACTATAAGGCATGCTCAACAGAAACGTCATAGTCCTGGTATAGTTTACCGACAGACTTCTTGAGGATTTCAGGACCCAAACTAAAAGGATTTCAATTAGCACTAGACCAACGAGAAAGATCAAAGTGAAGAAGTAAGCTTAACATTAGTTAGCAGCCAGATGAAAAGAACAGCAAAATTCCACATCAAGACTAGAAAAAAACGGATGGGTTTGACATTTCAATTTACTTTAGGTCAGAAAAAAAAAAAAACCCTTCTGAAAAAACGTTACCAAAGGTTAACTAAAGTAAGTCACAATCTCAAGAGATTGGAAGTCCATATTACCCAAATTCAAGCAAAAATTCACAACTCAAGAGGGAAGGAGAAAAAAAAAATCCATCCCCGTTAACTAGTTGCCTCAATAGAAGAAAACGTAATTTTGGTTAGACCACATTGCTGATAGGGTTTTGTTTCTGAATGCCTGAATGCTCAGTGAGCCAGACGTTCAGATTCATGTATAAACAACACGTGACCAGCCCTGTACCCTACAATTTTTATAAGGCTAAATGATATAGAAGATAAACACTACATACAAACATGCCGTTTTAAAGTTAATTTTACATTTTGGATTTTCTGTTTTCACTTGAAGGGACCAGAGTGGTAGCGGACAATTGTAGGGATCTGTAGCCCATGAAGTGTGTATTCCTCTCCCTTTGAGGTCGCTGTAAAACAAGACCTTAGATCGCTAAATTTGGGGGTTGGGGGGGGGAGGACGTTAACTCAGAATAACTGCTCCAAATCAAACCAAGAGATATTCTTTTAACTTCACGGTTTGTCAATTCATGGAGAGAAGGAGGTGGTCGAGTTCAAGTAAGTTAACGATTTCACAGTCTAAAGTAAACACGTACACAATTTTGTTTCAAAGGGTAGCTTCTGCTTTCTTTTTAAAATCGTTAGATCATAATGGGATCTCTGTTCATCTACACATCGCCTGCTTACTTCAGATGTACCGGGAAAGAAAAAGAAAAAAAAAAATGCAAGGAAGGGCTTGCCCTTCTCCGGCCCACCATCTCGCGAACCCGTCGCAAGGCGTTAAGGGAAAAGGCTTTATTTTAGCAAGGGCGGGCGCCAGCAGGGGCCAGGAGGCCGCCCGGGAAACCCACGGCCGCGGAGGCGCCCGGGGGGCCGGGGCCGGAAAGGGCCCCGCCAGCGGCGTACCCCGCCGCCGCTGCCCCACACACCAGCCCGGCGCCGGGCTGCGGAGGGGCCGCCGCGGGGTCCGGAGGGCGGCGCCGGCTGCCCTCGCCCCTCCCCCGCCCGTGGCGGAAACGTCTCGGGTTTGAAAGATGCCGCCGCCGCCGCCCCCCCACGCCCTCCCCGCCCGCGGAGCCACAAAGGGCCGAGCCCGCTCCCACTGCTGTCCTCTTTCCCCTACTCCTCCACAGGTCCTCGCGGGCTCCCCCCAACCGCCCCTCCCTCTCGCCCGGCGCTGGCGACGCCTGCTCACCGTGTCCCCAGGTCCCGAGGATTGGGATCCGGCGCGGCCGGCGGCCCCCGGAAGCACTGGGCCCCTCGGGCGCGGCGGCGGGGGCGTGGCCCTCCCGCCGAGGCCAGGGCCGGGGTCTCGCCTCCGCCTCCCCCGAGGAAGCCTGGCGCCACCGCCTCGTCTTCCTTCCGGCTTCCCCTCGCGCCCTCCCTCGGTCGGTCCGTCCTGCGCGGAAAGCAGCGTCCTCTGCGGGCGCCGCCGCACGTTCCTCAGGGCCCGACAACCGCCAGACTCCTCCCCCGGGAGCCGCGCCGCCGGGCCGCGAGACGCCCGGCTCGCCGCTCCCGCCCCGCCCCTGCGGCGCGCGCTCGCCCCCTTCGCGGGCCCCTTCCGCGGCCCGGGAACGCGCGGGCAGCGGACCGTGGACCAGCCTTCGCCAGGTTTCAATTCCCGCCGATCGCGCCCGCCTAGCGGAACAAGCGGCAGTTTTGCAGTTTCCCGGGTTCTTGAGACCCCCCCTCCTTCTCCCGCCCTTACCCTAGCTTCCCCCGCCCTTTTCCTTTGCTGGATCCCACCGGAAAGCCAAAACAATTGGGTCCGCGCAAGCGCGAAAAAGGAAGCGGAAAGAGGAGGGAGGGAGCGGCGCGAGGTGACGGGGAGGCGCTTTTGGAGGGGTTTCCCGGAGAAGGTCAGCAGATAGCCCGCGGAGGGCGCGTGCGCGGCGAGGTGGTCGCCACCCCGAGACGAGCGGGCCTGGGGCGCCAAAGGGTTCAGGCGTAGCCTGGCGAAGGGAGAGCCTTTAGAAATTCAATGCTGGGAAACCCAGACACCAAAGCACCAAATCTTATGCCGTAGGCTGTTTTCTTCCCCCTTGAAATACAGAAATGTTCGGGCTGGGTAAGGAATTGGGAATGAGAAGGGCTGGACAACATCAGACCACGGGAAGGAGGGGAGATGATGGGTGGCTGACTGAGTGGGCTTTGTCTCCTCAGTCCCAGCTCTCCAAAACGCGCCTTCCACTCTCAACATGTTCGGCTTTCCCAGTCTCATCTGGAAAGGCTTCTGTCCCGGTCTTTCAAGGCCAAGGAAAACCTCAAAGCGGCACCTGAAAGGGCCTGCATTTCGGGAGAGGGAACAGTTGTCAGGGTGCGGGGGGAGCAGCTGTATATGAATGCCTCAGATAGGTTTGTACTGCATTGCGGCGGCTACCTGCTCCCCCCCACCTCACCCCCAGCAAGTTCCAGAGGAATGCCTTCAGCTTCATAAGCTAAGCCTTTGTAGCAGCAGATGGCTGTGGCCCACGCTGGTTTGGTTAACTTGGTACAGCTTGCTAGCAAGCAGAAAGTTGTAGATTTGCTCTCTCATTTGATAGAAGTTATTCATGGATGCAAAATTGTCAGGAATGCCCACACAGACTTCACCTACCTTTGTAATTTACACTCTCGGCACAAACCCAATCTGGAATATGTACATGACTAATTATAAACTAAAAGCCTTTACGTTACCAAAGAGCCTCTTCCTGTAGGCTAGGTTAGATCAACTGAATGCACGCCAGGATGTGTGTATTTGGGAATTTTACAGTAGAGTTTAGAAAATAGATTCATTCAGCAAATCTTTATTGAGTGCCAGGTATGCTATCATTCTGCTTAGTCTGGTTAAATGCTTAAGTGTTTTGATATTAAACAACAAAGAAGCCATATAAAAGATTCAGTCATTTAACACACTTGAGCACCTACTCTGTGCCAGATTGGACCCTGGAGATGTAAAGTCTGAACAAGAAGGTACAAACCACAGATGATACCCTTGGTAAGAGTTTGTGTTGTGGCGCCTGCAAGGTGCAGTGGGTTAAATGACCCACTCTTTGGGCTCAGGTCATGATCTCAGGGTTTTGAGATGGACGTGCTGAGCCGGGAGTCAGCTTGAGATTCTCTCTCCCTCTCCCTCTGCCCCTCCTGCCTGTGCTCGCTCTCTCTCTCTAAAATAAATAAAATCTTTAAAAAAGAAAAAGTTTGTGTTTCATCCTGTAGACAAAAGAGAGCCATTTATGATTTTTAAGGAAAAGAATATCTTGATAAGATTTTAGAAAAATAATTCTGAAGCATGGTGGATAATCAGGTGAAGTGAGTAAACTAGTTAGGAAGCTGTTAAAATAGCCCAGATAGGAGATGGAGTGTCCAAACTAATTTAGTGGCTGTGAGAATAGTGAAGCAGAGATGGATTTGAAACTACCTAGATGGGGCCCCTGGGTGGCTCAGTCAGTTAAGCATCTGCCTTCGGCTCAGGTAATGATCTCAGGGTCCTGGGATTGAGCCCCACATCCAGTTCCCTGCTCAGCAGGGAGTCTGCCTCTTTCTCTCCCTCTGCCCCTACCCCCTGCTGTGCACTCTCTCTCTCTCTCTCTCAGATAAATAAAATCTTTAAAAAAAAAGAAAGGAAAAAGAAAGAAACTAGCTAGATAAAATAAACAAGACTTGGTTACTAAGGATAAGGAAAAATAAGTGAGGGATGGCTGAGTTTTCTAGTTGGGGTGATTGGACAGTAATATCAGTAACTATAGGAAGAGTAGCTAATTGTGAGGATGAAAGAGGACTAAAAAGGTGCATTTTAATAGCTGTATAGTTAGGAATGCATTTGACTGCAAGTAAAAAAAAAAAAAAATCCTATTGCAATGACTTAAGTAAGGGTCTATTTGGTCCCATAAGTCTGTAAGTAGTCAGTCACCCTGGTTTCAACAGCAGAGCCACAATTTCTGCGATTCGTTTGACATTTCTCATGGTTGCAGGATGGCCACAGCAGTTTTAGCCTTCATACCTTTATTGAAGGCAGGAAGATGGGGAAAGGAGGGGCCTCAGCCATCTATGCTTTTTTTAATTTTTTTAAAAAGTAGAAGCCTTCTCAAGACAGTACCTCATACCCCCAACTCAGCAGACTTCCATATGCATCTCAATTTCTAGAACTATAATTTGGCCAAATGCAGCTGTGAAAACAAGTTTTTCCAAGCTCTAATACAAAGTTATAAGGCAGAAAAGCATTGGGAATGGATGCTGGGTCAGACAAATACCAGTCTGTTAGTTCATTAATACTTAAAGCATAAGTTTTAACATTTAAAACACTGAGAGCTGGGGCCCCTGGCTGGCTAAGTTGGTAGAGCATGTGACCCTTGATCTCAGGGTCATGAGTTCAAGCCCCATGTTGGGCATGGAGCCTACTTAATAAATAAATAAAATTGTTTTTTAAAAAAACAAACACTGAGAGCTAGCAGGCTGGATTGAGGCTTCTAGAGTTTCAAAGACATCCATTCTTTTTGTTGTTTTAACTAGAAAAAGAACAGGTTGAACATTTTATCCTTGAATATTTCTACTTGTTTGCCATTTTTCCCTAAAGGTTGCCATCCCCTTTAAAAGTCTCAGAGGGGATTTGAGCAAGAAGGGGCAGGGGCACCTGGGTGGCTCAGTTGGTTAAGAGTCTAACTCTTGATTTCCGCTCAGGTCATGATCTCAGGGTCTTGAGAAGAGCCCCACAGCAGGCCTCCACCACCACTCTCTCACACACTCTAAAATAAATAAATAAATCTTAAAGGGGGGGGGCTTGCTACAGTCAGAGGAGGCTGACTCTTTGTTTAGCTTTCTGTCTATAGTTGCTATCATAGAACAGTTGTAATGTGCTTGACATTATTAGCAACAACACCACCTTCACTTTTTCTTACAGATCCTGCCCCTCGGCTTGGAAGCTGAGCAATCACAACTAGTTAACACTATCTAGTTTAGGGAGACCATAAATCAATATTTTCTAGCAATTACATTAATTTTTCTGGAATGTACAGCAGCTCCCACATGATCTATATCCAAAACTAGGCATATGACATTATTTCAAGCTCTCCTTTTTAGTTAACAAGGCATTTTCTTTTAATTAAATGCCAAAAGCCACGAAACAGTATCTTCCTAAGACTGCATTTGAAACATTGTCATGATTCTAGAAAAGAAAACAAATAATTCTTGGAAAAAGTAAAGATGCAACTACAAATTTTCTAAATGTTTTTTCTGTGCTTAACCATTTCTGAATGTTATAATCATTTAAGATGGTAAAATAATCTAAAACATTATTGTTAATTTTAACATTGTAACCTATTTTAAAATCTTGGATTTGGGGGAGGAAGTTCCCAGGGCCATCTCTGAAGGGGACAGTGCATTCTAGAGCTAATATGCAATATATCCTCTCCATCTTGCTTCCCTGTAATAATACAGAGAAAATCTAGGGGGCACCTGGGTGGCTCAGTCGTTAAGCGTCTGCCTTCAGCTCAGGTCATGATCCCAGGGTTCTGGGATCGAGCCCCACATCAGGCTCCCTACTCTGCAGGAAGCCTACTTCTCACTCTCCCACTCCCCCTGCTTGTGTTCCCTCTCTCGCTGTCTCTCTCTCTCTGTCAAATAAAATCTTTAAAAAAATAATAATAATAATACAGAGAAAATCTAGTTAAAATGGACATCATTATTATGGGGTAGCACAAGGGAGCTCTCTGTGGTAACAGAACAGTTCTATATCTTGATTGTGGTATAATCACAAATCGATATATATGATAACATTTAATAGGACTATATATAACACCTATTTAAAACTAAGTGCACACAAAGGTGATAAAATCTAAGTAAGGTCTGTAGTCTAGTTAATTTCATTGTGCCAATGTCAATCTCCTTTTTTTTTTTTTTAAAGATTTTATTTATTTGAAAGAGAGAGTGAGAGAGAGAGAGAGCACAAGAGGCAGGAGCGGGAGAGGGAGAAGCAGACTCCCTGCCGAGCAGGGAGCCCGATGCAGGACTCGATCCCGGGACTCCAGGATCATGACCTGAGCCGAAGGCAGTCGCCTAACCAACTGAGCCACCCAGGCGCCCCTCAATCTCCTTCTTTTGATAATGTACATAGTTATATAAAATGTTACCAGTGGGGGAAGCTAGGTGATTAGCACACAAGGAAATCTCTGTATTATTTCTACAACTTCTTCTGAGTCTATGATTATTTCAAGATAAAAAGTTTTTAAAAGTGGATACCATTCATTCAACAAAGATTTATTTTAGTGGCCTGGGGTATAGAGATAAAAGACTCAGAGGAAGAGGAATGTTGGGCGAAAAGACCCAAGCAAACCAACAGTGGGATAAATTCTGTGAAAGCAATATGCTTTCAATATGTGAAAGCAATGTGTATTATGAGAGTCCATCAGAAGAACAAGCAGGTCAAAAAAGGCTTCTCAGAAAAAGTGGAGCAGGGCAGATAGAAAAAGAAAGGATCAAGCAGAGGAACACAGCATGGGTCAAGGCATAGAGGCTTAAATGAGCTCTGATAGGTTTCACTATTATGTATTTTCATTACACATAGCACTTTTTA